TCTGCAATATAAAACCTATTGCTGTGTTGACTCTTTCCACAGGCTGCTGCCAGCCAGAGCTTGAGCACATCAAGACATTCTTGTTCTTGAGCGACACTTTGGCTGAGGACTCCCTGAGGACTCCTGTTTATTTGTAATTTTTTAATTAATTAATTAATTTATGTTTAGAGGTTTTTGCTATAGGGCATGTATGCTCACCCAAAAGAGAGAAAGAAAGCGAGAAATTACCCCTGTAGGGGGGATGGCCACTCCTCAATCCCTTCCCTTTCATTCTCCTCTCCGGATCTTGGGGCACACAAGCACACGTGCCCAGCGTGAGTTTAAGCCACCACCGGGTCTGGCGGCCTGAGGACTCCTGAAAGGACTCTGACAACTATGTTGAACTTTCCTTAGAAGTGCAACTGCTGTGGGGGTCAGCAGGTGGTGTGATGGTTAAGGGTGCTGGACTCCCATATGGTCAACTGTGGTTCAAGTCCCAGATCTGGCAGCTTGCTTCTTCACTTTGTCTCTCTCTTGCTCTTGCTCTGTTTTTCTCTGGTCAAATTTAAATAAATGAATAAATAAAGTTGAATAAAATAATTTTTAATTTAAAAAAAAATTGCAACTGCTGTATAACAAATTCCACCCATTTTCCTTTTTGTTCTTCTCCTCTTTAACAGGGTCACCCCTGCATCTTGATCTGATGACCCTCAACCTCTCTTCCTATTCCTCTCATAAACATTGCCCTTAATAATTTTATTGCATATTTAATCTCATTTTAGTGTCTGCTTCTAGAATGACCCAGATTAACACAATATGAAACTTTTTGGTAAGACCCTAGATCTGTAGTCATGGGAAATAGGTAGCTGGTAAAGTGGAGATAGTAGGTACAGCCAATTTATCATATTTCAATTTTATCTTACTATTAGTAGGGACTGAATAAAAGTAGCTAGGTTCTATAGCTTTTATTCAGTCCCTACTAATAGTAATATAAATTTTATTTCCAATTGTTTCTTTCCTCAGTCTTTGTTTAATGCCCATCTAAAAACAAAACAAGCCAAAAAAGTACATTTTCAGTTTGTCACAAAATTTTAATTCACAGGACCAGCAGTTAGCATAATGGCTATGTCGCTGGACTCCCACGTAGTCGATCCCAGTTTGTGTCCTGGACCTGGTGGCTTAAACTCACACCGGGTGCGTGTGTGTGTGTGCCCAAGATCCCGAGAGGAGAATGGAGGAAAAGGGATTGTGGCATGGCCATCCCCCCTGGGAGGTGATTTCTCGCTTTCTGTCTCTATGTCTCTCTCTGTCTGTCTGGCGAGCGCACGCGCCCTATAGCAAAAAAAAAACCCTCTCAAATATATATATATATATATATATATATATATATATATATATAAATTTAATTCATCTCTGTGACTTATTATGTGTGACATTTTAGTTATATGGACTTGATAAGAGGTTGCTTAATATGTTAGCAATATAACTTAGAAACAATACCTGAAGAATAAATTTTATAGTATGTTTGCCCCGTTGAACTCATACTTATAATTCATGTTTTGATGACGTATATACTTAGGAAAGTACACATAGAGAAAACAAAAATGGAGAAAAAAGGTCCACATACCTTATTAGTATTTGTATTGATCCCAACAAGGAACACAAGTTCAGCAAGGAATAAGTTACAGCAGAGATTTTTATGAATTGTTGTCCTAGTGCTTTGAATTTCACTGAAGAACCAGAAGGTAAAAATGCATATAGCAAGACAAATTAGTGAAATAATTATTCCTAGTTGAGTGATCCTTGTAAGAATATTATAATCTTTAATGCCCTAAGGGAAAATAATAATAAAGCTGTTAAGAGAATAACTCAGTACCTTGTTGAAAGAACTACAACATATAATGAACTTCCTTTTTTGGTGAAACATTAATCAAAATGTTCATAAGGTGTAAAAATGCAAAGTGTATTTAGATGAGAAAACATTTGTACTTTAGAAAATTCTCAATATCCAGAGAAACCTGATATAAATCATGTAGTATTTTAATAATTGTGTAGTTAGTGCTTTTTTCCTTCAGCATAGTATTTATTAGTATATGGTTTAACAATGTTAATGTCATCAGTTTCATGACATTAGAAAGGGAATTCATTATTATAATGTGAAAATGATTAATTAAAACTGATTTATCAATGGTAAGACCAAATGTTATTTCTATGCAGCAATTTATCTAAAACACATTAAATACAAGTTTTAGGAGTGCTGAATATATGGAGTATCAAAATAGTATAGTTCAGAGACCGAAATGGGAAATGTTGGATTTATTCTAGCTAGAGGAATATTTATATCTTTATATAAAGATAATAGTCTTTATATCTTTATATAAAGACTAGAACATTCTTACTTAAGATTCAGAAAAATAATTTTTTTTGTTGAGAAGTTTTTGCTATAGGGTGCGTGCACTTGCCAGAAAGAGAGAGACAGAGAGACAGAAAGTGAGAAATCACCCCCCCCACTTCTCCCAGGGATTGCCATGCCACAATCCCTTCTCCTCTATTCTCCTCTTGGGATCTTGGACATGCATGCACATGCATCCGGCATGAGTTTAAGCCACTGGGTCTGGGACTTGAACTGCGGTCGACTATGTGGGAGTTCAGCCACGTAGCCATTACGCTAACTGCTGGTTCCCCCAAAGAACATCTTTATAATGACATGTTTAGGCAGATTTATTTAGCTACTATTTTTCTTTTTAAATTCGCCAGAGAGTGTATGGAATCTCTGCAGAGACAGAGAGAGAGAGAAAGAGAAAGCAAGAAAACACCTCTCCTATGGGTAGTAGCCATGCTGCAGCCTCTTTTCTTCCATCTCTGCCTCCTGTTAGGATTTCGGCACATGTGCACATGCCCCTGGCCTGTTTCTCAGGCAGCTAGGTTCTGGATTCAAACTGCAGTCACCACGTGGGCTCTAGCTGTCTTAACCACTATGCCGCAGGCTGGCCCTATTTGTTTACTTTTATATTTAATAATGGATTCAAATTTATAAGGAAATAAACCTGTAATCTTATAAAGATTATAAAATCTATATCATGTAAAATAAGAAGTGATATAATAATGATGGGATATAAGTAAGATGTTGCTAAAGTAAAACACATTACGAAGCTATTCTTCTTAGTATGTTTTCATGTTTGAAAATCTTGTGAGGCTCTACCTTGCTAAAAACATAATATTAGTTATAAATATGCTAGTAGTTGTTGAGCAGATATCAAAATATCTTAAGTACTTTATCACCAGTAAAAAATAAACTTTCAATACCAAGACAAAGATCCCCCAACTTATATGATCCATTAAAATATGTAAATGGATCCTAAAAGCAACATTAAAAACTAAGGGTCAAGGGAACCAGCAGTTAGCGTAATGGCTATGTCGCTGGACTCCCACGTAGTCGACCGCGGTTCGTGTCCCGGACCCGGTGGCTTAAAACTCACACTGGGCACGTGTGCGTGCGTGCCCAAGATCCCAAGAGGAGAATGGAGGAGAAGGGATTGCGGCGTGACCATCCCCCCTGGGGGGTGATTTCTCGCTTTCTGTCTCTCTGTCTCTCTCTGTCTGTCTGGCAAGCGCACACGCCCTACAGTGAAAATCTCTCCAAAAAAAAAAAAAAAAAACTAAGGGTCAATAAATAGATATTTCATTGAACATGGAATCTACTAGATAGCACAGACTAGACAAGTCCTGGACTTGAGATAATTTAAAATCCATATTAAATAGATCCTGGAAGGCAGGTAGAAAAAGTCTAAAAGAACATAAAGGTGAGGTTTCTATCCATTATATTAAATATGCTATATATTTGAAGAAAAACATACAAAATTAGTTATTCTCTTGAATGACATGGAAAATAACAGGAAAAAGGAACATAGGTGGATTTATAAATATGAAGTGAGAGCTGTCTTACAATAGAAGGACCAGAAGACATCAAAATTGCAAAATGTGTCAAGTGATTACAACGGCAAGAAGTGTGGGTCTCATTCGAGTGTGTCATCTCACAACCTTCTGAAGACCAGCTCCCATTCATAGTATCAGGTGAGTACTTCCAAAATGCACATAAACTCCCATACTCATCTGTGGTCTGAAAAAAGAGACATTTTACTGATTAATTGAATTGTTCTTGCCATGTACCATTAATATGATTAGAATAATACTTCAAAATGAAACATAAAATAAAATCTAACTTAAAAACCTGCTGTATGGAAGAATTATATGGAAGGATTGAAATTCTTATTACAACAATGCTATCTTTTATCAGTCTTGGGTTACAAAATTGAGATCAGGTGTATGTCACTTAGAACAGTGTATGGCACATAATTATCATATGCATCTTTATTTAATTAAAGTTCATTGGGGGACCAGCAGTTGGTGTAATGGCTATGTTGCTGGACTCCCATGTAGTCAATGGCAGTTCGAGTCCCGGACCTGGTGGCTTAAACTCATGCAGGGCATGTGTGCATATATGCCCAGGATCCTGAGAAGAATGTAGGAGAAGGGATTGTGGCATGACCATGCCCCCCTGGGGGATGAATTCTTGCTTTCCGTCTCTCTCTCTCTCTCTCTGTCTTTCTGGTGAGTGCAAAAACCTCTACCAAATAAATAAATAAATAAAAATAAAGTTCATAGGATATTTACTAGATATTTGTCAGTGATCAGGGTAAACACTGAACAAAATAGAGAAAAGTACAGTATTTGCATTGTTAACTTTACATTCCAGAGAAGAAAAATTTTTACATGAGGAAACTAAACCAGAGAAGAAAGTAATGTGGAGGGTGGTATGATGAGGACTTTCCTAGGAGATACAATGCCTCAGCAGTTCCATCAGGGAAGTGAAGTGTAAGCCTTGCAGACTTGGCAACAGAGGGCTCTGGACAGCTGGAGTGGCAGGCAAATGGAAAAGCTCTGAAGTGAGACAGATATTTCTTCTAGAAATATCTGGAAGCCAGTTAAGTTAAGCACAAGAGTAAGGTAAAGAGTAGAGAAGACAAGATCGGAGGTAGACAAGTATCAGATCACATTGACAATGGGACAGTTGTTCAATGCATAGTAGAGTTTTCTTCTTATATTTTTATATGAACTACTATAGTATTATTGCTAATCCACTGTAACTTTTAATTGTAATTTATTAATAGAATGTTGAACTTGTAGAAATAAAAGCTATTTACAATAATACAACTTTTAAGTTAACTAGGTGTTTTCTCACCTAATTAATTTAGTTTGACCCTCAAAAGAACCCTATTTTGTTGAGGTCAAAAGATGTCGAAAGACATACTTCAGACAAATTTGATAAAAGTAGTATAACACAGAGTCAAACACATCTTCTAACAACTATTCATTAAAGAAAACATATCTTGAGTGTTAAATGTGTGATAGGCACTGACAGAATTTTCAGTTAAAAAGATAAAGCATCTGTACGCAAGGATGTCTGAAACTCAAATGATTGTAATACAATAAGATAATTCTTTTAATGGGATATATACTAAATGTATCCTTTGCCACAATAGAGCACTGACAAAGACAGTTTGAGTGCAGTAAGTTTGGGGAGACAATATTTGAGCTAACATTAGAAAGATGACGAGAAGTTTTTCAAGAAGGTCAAACTGTGTAAAGAAATTTAAAATCTTTTATCTAGTTCCCCCAAAAAAGTCAAGAAAATGTCCAATTCCAGAAGAAACAAGGGACTCTAGAATCGGGGAAGTAGAATCATTCAGGCAGCAGGAGGTTAGTGAGTGTTTACACATTGAGCGACCACTGTCCTCTAACCACCACATTTTCTTAGCTTTCTTTATTCCTGCAACCAGTCTTCTGTGTGTAGGAAAGGAAGAAATTTCTTTCCAGATAATTGATTGGCCCAGGAGAAGCTGCTTTTAGACACTGATCTTTGGGATCTTCCAATGCCATGGCCAAGAATCTGCTGATACCGATGAAAACTCTCTAGTGAAGCACACCTCTGCCACAAGTCCACCCTAGCACACTATGTTTCATTATTATTATTACTGTTTTTAAAACTTTTTTCAGGGGCATATTTGCTCACTGAAGTGAGACAAAGAAAGAACGAACGTGAGAAAGCCTCCTCCATGGGAAATGGTCATATCACAACCCCTTTTCCTCCATCTCTTCTTTTGAGATTTCGGACATGCATGCACATGCAGTCGGCATGTTTTTCAAGCTGCTGGGTCTAGAGACTCGAAGAGTGTGGTTGGTCAGATCCTGCCATCTTAACTACAGCTGGTCCTGTGTCTCGTTATTAAATAGGAGTAGATGGACAGAATCACCAGACATTTGAGGTTCAGCTCTGACAGAAAAGTCAGAGAACAAAGACAAATGAACCCAAAAGGCGAAATTGAGAAAAGAAATGATGGAGTAGAATACAGTTGTTAAAAACATACATTTTAAATAGAATCTCAGAGAGATGAGATACAATACCCATTAAATAAATCAGTGTTCAAAAAATAAATGTTTTCAGTGAATATTAAGCAAAACAATATGGGCCACTCCATGGCCTATCTCTGCAAGCACATGTATCCCTTGTCAAGTGAAAAAAAAAAAAAGAAAGAGGGAGAAAAAAGGACAGAAATACTAGTCTAGGTAAATTAACTAAGAAATAATATTAGATAATTTACTAGAACTAAATACCATACGTTTTAGAGTCAAGAGACTCACTAAATACCACTAATGAAGAAAGCTACTAATGAAGAATGGTCACACAAAAATATAACTTAAAGATTTTGGAATACTGGGGTCAGCAGGTGGTGAAGTGGTTAAGGTGCTGGACTTCCACTTGGTAGACTGCTGCTTGAATCACACAAGACATACATGAGCATGCATGGCCAAAACATCCTTCTCAGGATTGGAGAAAGGAGGAGAAGGGATTCTCTCTCTGTTCTCACCACATGCCCTATAGCAAAAATCTCTCTCTCTTCCTCTCTAAAAATAATAATAATAATAATAATAAATTAAATTAAAAAATTAAAAAAAAGATTTTGGAATATTGAGAATAAGAATAAGATCTCAAAAGCTTGGGGCCAGCAGATGGCATGATGGTTACGTTGCTGGACTTGCACGTGATTGACTACAGTTTCAGTCCCGGACTGGTGGCTTAGAATTCATGCTGGACATGTGTACATGCTTGCCCAAAATCCCAAGAGGAAAATGGAGGAGCAGGGATTGTGGTGTGGCCATCTCTGGGGTGGGGGTGGGGGGTGTGATTTCTCATTTCCTGACTCTCTATCTCTCCAGTAAGCAAACGTGTCCTACAGCAAAAATCTCTCTCAAAACAAAACAAAACAAACAAACAAACAAAAACCTCAAAGAAATTCCAAAGTTTAAGAAAGAAAGGAACTTATCACATTCCAAAAAGTTCAAATCTTCGTTAAAATATTAACTGCATTCAACTTATCCAAGTTCACTTTGAAAAAGTCTGAAGAACAATATATTTACAATTTATAATTCTATGTTATGGTATTTATATAACAAGTATAAAGATAAGGTAGAAAAATACATATAAAAAAAATAATGCAAGACTCAAAAGTAGCCTTCCATGCTACTTTTCTTAAGCAGCCACTGGAGAGCAGTCCACCAAAATACAAAAATGAACTTAGAAGGAGGAAGACATTGGCTCAAGGAAACATGGAATCTGAAATAGAAGAGAGGAGAATATGTGTCAGCGATGGTGCAGAAAGGAATGGCTCAGCTGCGTGGCAGACCAACAGCAGACATCCAAACATGATCAAGTTTGCAAAGGCTTGGGAAGGCTATCTCAAGACAATAAAATAAGCTGACAGGTAATCTTATGTGTTTAGATGTTGAGAGAAGATATGCAATGCTGTCAGAGAGTTTGGGAACAAATTAGAAATGAACAAATAAAATCTAAATGAACTAAAAAAGAGAAATTTAATACCAAAGAAAAAAGGTTAAGCTTCACAATTTAGTTGTGAATAACATATACCAAATTACAATACTATACACCTTTAAAATTGAGTTTTACCAACATTTGGAGGTTTGCATAGGGGGACTGAAGGAGTATTTTTAATACAGGGAAAGGTATATATTTCCATAAATGGCATTCAGTAGATTATGACTACTTTTTCTTTTAACTTTGCAGAGGGTACATGAATTCCCTGGAGAGAGACAGGGAAAAGGAGAATGCACCCCTTAATGAGACAGACATGGTCACAGTGCAATCCCTTCTCCTTCATTTCTCCACTTTTGGAATTTTGGACACCCATGGACACATACCAGGCAAGTTTATCAAGCCTGCAGATCCTGTTAGGATTTCAGGCACACATGCACATGCCCCTGGCCTGTTTCTCAGGCAGCTAGGTTCCAGACTGAAACTGCAGTCACCATGTGGGCACTACCTGTCTTAACCACCAGGCCACTGGGCTGGCCCTAAACAATGCTAATTTTTAAAAATGCTAAAAATGAAGAGGAGTTACTGAGTTTAATTGAGGGATACACAGGGTCAAGAGAGAAAGTTTTTTTTTTTTTTATTTTTTTAAAGAAACAGAAACTTGAATATATTCATTAGGTACTGAAGTGAAGAGATTCAGGAAAGAAGAGATAATTGATGAAGCCTAATTTCCTTGGGGGTAGGTTAAGGAAAGAATAAGAGTACTGGATTGGGCAGGAGTATAACAGCTGTTGAGAACATACATTATGGAGGAAGACTGCTTGGGATTGAAACTTTCTACCAGTTGATTGCTGGTTGACATGAGCAAGTAATGTAATCTCTTCAGATTTCAGTTTCCTAGTCTATAAAATGGTGATAACAGTATATACCCCATATGGCTCTTGTAAGGAGTAAATTTTTTTTTTTGTTCCTTTGAGAAAATAATTTAACATGGGGCCTAGTCAAATATCAATACTATATAAGTACTGGTTGTTATCATTATTATTATTTTTATCAATATTAGTAAAACTGCTCTCAGTATTTCTCTAAGGTAATGCAGAAAGATGTATTAATTAGTGGAGTTATACATACATATATATAATATATACATATATATATATATATATAAAATCAGGGAATCAGGACACTGAGGATATTACATATAAGATATTCTATTTTCTCAGGGAGAAAAGTGAAATCAAAATTTTTATTTTCAGAGGAGAGTGAAATCAGGGGTAAGGGGAAATATTATCAGAGGAGAGTAAGAACATTTTAAAATGGTTATTACATTGGGAAAAAGATTTGTACAAAGAGTTACATTAAGCATAATTCAGTCTTCTTATGAAATATCTTGAAGAATTTTTGTTAAATGTGTGTTTTTTTCTTTCTTTGTCAAACATGGATTGGTGAAGTGAGTTGTCCATGGCAACCTTTCAGCTGTCAAAGTACTCCACTGGCAAAAATTACAAAAACCAACAGATAATGTGAAAAAACAACGTTTGATGTCTAGTGTTACAAGGTCTTTTGCATTCAGCACCTAAAAAGTAAATATACATTTAGTTTCCATTTTTAAAACATTTTGTACCTTGTCTTTCCCTCAAATAATGTTTTCCATTGCTTAGTTTAAGCTATTATTTATTTGCATTTTCTACACCTTTAGTTCTACACTTTCTCCAAATGAAGCTTCAGAGGTACATTAATGACATACTAAAATTGAAATTCTGTTGAAAGCTCCTTAGTGATGAAAAGGTAGCAAATGATCTCTGATTTTGAGTTTCTCTGATTTATTTGTTTTGAACTAAAAGAACTCAATATTTAGTTCATGTTTATTATCATATAGCTTTAAATTCATATGAGTTTAAAAATAGTATGGAATAAAAACAAAAGAATAAAATGGTTTCCATTCATTTCTATTTTTTTTTTTTTTTGAGAGGTTTTTGCTATAGGGCGTCTGTGCTCTCCAGACAGACAAGAGAGAGACAGAGAGACAGAAAGTGAGAAATCACCCCCTCAGGGCGGGGGGATAGCCACGCCACAATCCCTTCTTCTCCATTCTCCTCTCGGGATCTTGTGCATGCATGCACACGGCCTGGCGTGAGTTTTAAGCCACCGGGTCTGGGACGCGAACCGTGGAACCGCGGTTGACTACGTGGGAGTTCAGCGACATAGCCATTACGCCAACTGCTGGTCCCCTCCATTCATTTTTTTATGAAGCATTTTAAATTTCCCTATGATTTTATTTCACTTAACACTCAACTCTCTTCCAATATTATTTTAAATGATAAGTATTAACCAAACGCATCTCTTATCGCACAAGTGACATTTATCTCTTTGACTAAGTGATTTTTTTTTTTTTTACAATTCATTTTTTGATGGTATGGAGACTTTCAAAATGAACAGTGTACTTAAAAATAAAACTAAATATAGTTTAATGTCAGTAAGTCAAGTATGTAAATTCTGTAGAACTGATTAGAAAGTTTAAAAAGCACTGAAAGCATGAAATATTTTATGGAAAAAATAGTTGAAACTACTTTCCTTTATTAATTTTGAAACTGAATTTTTTAATTCAAGAACTCTCACAATTAAAGTGACACAACAAAAGAGTCCACTTCTCTATGTCATAACTAACAACCACTAGAAAAACAACTTACCTTTATATGACTCAATGTAAACGTTATTTTGTCAAGTTCATAGAGTGTGAGTGGGTTAGAACTAATTGAGACTGAAATTACTGAAGAGATGACTTTTTCCTCCTCTTCAGAATTATCAGAATTTTGAGCTTCCGTTAAGAAGTTGTCAGATGATGAGAGCAAGGGACCAATACTCTTATAATACAGAAACGCAACTGCGACATTGCCTATCAATCAAATAAGTATACTTAGTGAAATTCCTATAAAACAAAAATGTATTTCAACTTTTAAAATAAACACAAAAATTGAACAAAGTGTTTGCTCTAAGGGAGTCTTATGAATACTCAGATACTCACTTGTGGGCCACAATAAGTTTATGCTTACATTTTAAACCTTATTAAGACTCTGACCTCTACAAATCCCCAAACAATCATGAACTGTAGCATCTCATTTGCACAAACTGTATTTAGATAAATTTACATGCAAATCCTAAGAATCAGGATGTGAACTGTATTCACTTGAAAAATAAACTGTTGAGATTTCTTTCATGTGCAATATGAATAGGAGAGATTTAGAGAGACATTTATCACAGGTTTATAAATTAGGAAAGTTCAAATTGAACAAGTTGTGTCATGCCATTGAGTACAACTTTATGCCCAGTAAATGGCTCCTAATTGATAACATATGGTAAAGCAGAGTCAGGGTAGGAAATTAATTTTCTTGAGAGGCAGCCATATTTCTGTGCTCTTTGACACTCCACATATGCAGTGCATCGGTGTCTAACCCAATGTAACAAAATCCTAAATACAAATGTTGATAATATCAAAAAAAGGACTATGATAAAAAAATTGGAACCGTACATCACTCCAATAAATACTCATTGAATATTCCTTATATATTCCTTACCCATAGTGCTTGAAAGCAGAGTGCTTTGGACTTCAAATATCATTGTGGATTTTGGAGCATTTCACATACATATGAAATATCTTGGGAATGGGACTGAGGTATAGACATAAAATAAGTTTGTTTCTTTCATGTATACCTCAAACATACAGCCTGAAGGTAATTTTATATTATATTTTTGCATCATTTTGACTGTGTCTTGGCCATATGAGGTCAGATTGGAATTTTCCACTATGGTGCCATATTAGTATTAAAAGAGTTTTGGACTCTGGAGTATTTTGAGTTTTGCATTTTTGAACTAAGGATGTTCAACCTATAGTATTCTGTGGATAAGTTTATATGAGCTAGAAGTTGCCAAAGTGTATTATGATGCTTCTAACTGAACATAAAAAGGCACCACAAGAGATGTTGCCAAGAGCATGGTTATATTCACACACATTACATAGAACATTTTTTCCTGAACTCAGCTTAGATAATTTGTATGAAAGAAAGACGTGGATGTTCATATAACATGACTGTACTACTGAAATGATGACTCTGTCGTAATAGTTTTAACTATTCCAGCCTTTGCTACTGACTATCAAGGTCTGAAACTGGGTTCGTAATCTTGTCAGTCAATAGGACCTGATCAATTGATGAACCAGTCTATGAGAGAGGGACTTTTCATGAGTCACATTAGAAGATGGTATAATCTCAAAGCATCAAAACTATAAGGCAGATATTTTAGGCTAGCCATGGTGGGACAATGGTCATGCAGTTTCCTATTACCGAGACCACATAGAAAGGTTCCAGGCTCATGTCCAGAAGTCTCCCTGTACATGCCAGATATACACACCTGTGTCATAGTCTTGGCTGGCTGGTGCAGGTAGATTGTGGCATGAAGACCCTGTAGGGGATACTTATCTCTTATGGAATAAATAAAAGACCTTAAAAAAGGGGGGGATTCTTGAAAAATCTATTATTTACTGCTATTCTTTCTAAAGGAAAATAACCAACATGAAGTTTTGACTTTGGGTAAGGGAGGCTACAGATAATGCTCCAAATCTCAAATTTGTTTATTCTCATAATTTTGAAACTTTTCCTGTTCCTGTGCTAATTATAGGCTCAGTGTAGCTTTGAAATCTTTTACCAAATCTGTGTCTTCTATCAATTATTAGAGGTTCATTCACTAGTAAGAGTAACTAAAAATGTCAAAATACTTGAAAAGAGTAGGTTATTTCCTATTAAATCATCCTCCATCCTTCCTCATTTTTCTTCCTTGTGTTTATTTTATTCTTTTTTGCTTTGTGATGTTTCTTTTTTTTTTTTTTTTTTTTTTTTTTTTTTTTTTTTTTTGTTTTTTTTTTTTTTTTTTTTTTTTTTTTTTTTAATTTTTGCCAGAAGGTACATGCATTTAGGAGAGAAAAAAAGAGAAAGAGAAAGTGAGAAAGCACTTCTCATGGGGCATGGTCATGCTGCAATTTCTTCTCTGCCATTTCCCCCATCTTTTGGAATTTGGAGCACATATGCACATACACCTGGTGTGTTTCTCAAGACACTGGGTCTAGAAATTGAACCCCTTATAGGCCATGTGGGATCCAACTGCCTTAACCACCATGCTCTGGGTTTGCTCACCCTGTGGTCATTCTAATATCCATTAACATACTATATCTTTACTAAGAACAAGATCTAGTCTTTTACTTATTTATGTTTTATTTTAGAGGATTTTTCTTTTTTCCATAGGGCACACGTATTTGCTGGAAAATGAGAAAGAGAGAAAGAGAGAGATAGGGAGACAGAGAAACAGAGGCAGTGAGAAAGAAAGAGAAATCACTCCAAGGAGGGATGGCCATGCTGCAATCCCTTCTCCTCCATTCTCCTCTGGAATCTTAGCCATGTACACAGATGCACCCAGTGTGATTTTTAATCCAACGTGTCCAGGACTTGATCCACTGTCAGTCATGTGGGAGTCCAGCGATGTAACCACTATGCCATCTCCTGGCCCCAAGATATCATTATAAATTCAATGAATAGATCACATATTTGAGCATTTACTTAGTGCAAATATCTACCTATGCTAAGTTCTGGAGACTGTACTTCTGAATTAATGTTTATATATATTTATTAAAGAATTTCCATTCAGTAGTCCTTCATCTTTATTCCTATTTTATTTTATTACTCTGATTTCTTTCAGTCAGCTGAATGAAGTATCTTAATACTGTGGTCTGATTCTGAGTTGTACCTCAGACAACTGGAAAATTATTGAGGTGTAGGAGTTATGATTTTTTTCTTTATGTTAAATTCTAAGATCAATTTTCCCACCTAGAATATTCAATGATCTCTTTAGAGAATTATTGTTCTCCATTTTATTGCTACTTTTACTTGAGAATTACTAAAAGCACTGTCTCAATAGGGCTTCCTATGCCACTCTATTTTGTCATATAACTATTATACCAATTTCACAAGTAATTTAAAAACAAATATATAAAATCTTTTAGGAAAAAAAATCTATAATCTTATTATAAAACTGCAGTTCCGAGCATTGAATCTGTTCTACTCATTCTCAACCCCTCCCCCTTACTTTTCTAAAATGTTTTCTATGAAAAAAAAAAAAGATGAAAAATATAGTGTGAGAAACTAAAAAGGCTGACCGCATAGAAAAGTGTAGAATGTCATTGCCAGAGGCTGACAGGGTAGGGAGTTGGAAGAATAGAGAGATATTGGTTAATGGATGCAAAAATACATTTAGATAAGAGAAGTAATTCCTAGTGTTCTATGGCACAGTAGAGTAACTATAGTTAATGATAATTTATATATTTCAGAATAGCTGGAAGATAGGAGTTTCAATGTGTCGAACACAAAGTAATGATAAATGTTTGAGATGATGGATGAGATAATTACTCTGATTTGATCACTGCATTTTCTATTAATGTACTCATTAAATATGTACAATGATTATTTGTAAATTGAAAAAGATTCGCCAGTGTTCCTTGGACCACCTTTATCTTCCTACCAAGGGTATGTGCTTATTTTAAATAATACATGTATTTTATTAATAGCTAAATAACTGTCAATAATTATTGACAATTGTCAATAAGTACATAATTACATGTAGATATCATTGAGAGGATTTAATGAGTTTGTTATATTTGCCCTTATTTTTAAGACTGAACCTTGAGAAGAACACATTTTCTCAATCTGCTTTATTGAGAACTGATATTACCATCCCTTTCAAATGTCAGTTTGTATGTGTGATCACTAAATATAACGAAGCTACCATACAATCAGATAGGATCTCTTCAAGATGTTAATTCCATGACAGTTTTATCATCTGTCACGAAGTAGGAATTTTCAATGTCTTTTTCTCAACTTCTAAATACTACTCATATTGTCTTTAACATTTCAACAGTTTAACATGTTCTTTGGATTCGCTCCTATATACTGTAAGTATGCTTCAGTATGCTTCTCTACTTAAGAGTATGATATCAAAGGGTAAGAGTCAAGGGTCTAATAGCAATGTAGCTTAGTTATTTAACTTGTTTTACATTGATTTATTTATTATTTTGCATGAAAATCACAAAACAGAATGGATGATTAATATTGTTGTATAAAAAAAGTCCCATATTAGTTCAGTTAGAATTCTTTTTTCCCTGAGAACCAATGCATAGCATATTTTTAACAATACAGACAAAACATTAAAAAAATAAGATAATGTCTCTATATAAGACCATATGTAGACTGTGTGTATTTTTTCATTTGTATTTATGACTATCTATACATTCTTTGAGAAAATATTGCAATTTATGTGTTCCCAAGGTAACACATTTTTATCTGTATTGAAGCAACAAAATACAATTCTTGTATCAGCAGAGATTTTTCTAAATGCCCTACTCTAAGAGGGCAGATAAATGGTTAAATTAAAATAGTAGCTACTGGTCAGGTGTCAAGTAAAATCTGGTCAGGATGGATTTCTTTGTTAACTCCCTGCATTCCACTACTGGTTCCATAGTATCTGTTGAGGTGTGCTGATACAAATTTTCTGACTTTGTTCCTTATACCCATTATCCATAAAATGAGAATATAAGGTTAGGTAATCAAGTTGTCTACTGGTAGTAGCATTCTCTGAACATCTTTTTTTAAATCCTGGCTTTTAAGTTTACTATACAAGTATTAAGAAGTGACAAGTGTAAAGAGAAATCTAAGTTTAAATAACAACTCTCACAATTTAAAAAGTATTATTTTTCTTCCTCACACAATCTCAAATTCAGTCTCATAATGAACAACATGAAGGACTAATGAAGCAGAAATATTAAGAGAACTACACAAATTACAGCATCTTTGACTGACATACAAGGAGCTACAAAATCAGATTTCTTTTGTATATTTTCATTAGAATCTCAAAAGTATCAGACAGTTACAGAGGCTAGAGGTAAGACAAGAAGGACCCAGACATTGTTAGCTAAAATTCTCCACAGGTGGGGCCAGCAAGTTGTATGGTGGCTAAGGTGCTAGATTATCATATGGCTTACCACAGTTTGAGCCCCATATCTGGAGGCTTAAAAGTCATACCAGGTGCATGTGCATGAGTAACCACAATCCTGAGTAGAAAACAGAGAACTGCTGTGCCATCCCTTCTCAGGGGTGATTTCTCACTCTCTCTCTCTTTCTGTCTTTCTCCAGTGAGTGCACATGCCCTTTGGCAAAAACCTAAGAAAAAATTAATCTCCACAGGTATTTATAGCAGAATAAAAATCTGAAGTACACAAATGGATATTCTATATTTAAATACCAAATATTCTTCAGTGGGAAAACATGTTACATATACATGATATGGTCAAACGCATAAATATTTATTGCAAACTTATTGATATATTGGATATAAAATCATTCAACGCCTACCATTTGAATCATATGCAGCTTTTCTCTTTGGAAATATCTTTATATAATCTCCATCTACATTCATATGTGGCTGAATATGTTTCACATGAGATGAATCAAAAAAGAAAACTTTGAGTGCTGAAACAAAACAAAACAAATGAATTCTTTGAAATTAATTTAATCAAGACACAGAATCAACACATTTATTTGCAGAAAATTTCACTTGTCATTAATGCATTTCAACTGATTTATAGCAAATAGAATGGCCTTCCTCTGAACTTATTGGGAAAGTATAATTTATGTTATAAAGCTTACTCAAGTTTTAATTTTTTGGTTTTACTATAGCACTCATGACTTTATTAAAGAAAAGACAAAATATATATGTACTTGAGATCTATAAATCAAAAATACCTAAAGCCAAGACAAGCAACTGCAATGTCTTAAAGTATTGTAGCTATAACATAACTATCCAAAGGTTATTGAAGTAATTTCTGAGTAATAATTCCTTACTTGCTATATTTTCACCTTTTTCAGGCAGAAACATCATGGAAATGTAGGGCAACTATATATTAATGACAACATGCACAACTTTAATTTTGAGTAAGTGGTGAATCCTGATGAGATAATGATTTTCTATATTTACTGTAGCATAGCAGATGCCACCCAGAAAATGTAATAAAGATATGTACAATGATTATTTCAGAAAATGTACCTTGTTTCCCCAGAACAGCTTCATAGGCAAGATTCTGAATATTTTAAATATAAATTTACATGAAGCAGGAAATATTCTAATTTACTGTGTTGATTGCTTCATGTTATCAAAAAGCAAAGGACTTCTAAGGAGAAATGTAAACATATTACAGCCACGAGATCTGATGTAGCTATCATGGGTCCAGGTGTAGTCTGAGAAGTCATGGGGGAGATGAATGGCTTGTCAAGGGAGTAATGCACTGAGCATCTAAATGCTATAGCAGTTCAAGAACAGGAAAAGGTGCACAAGATAGGAAGGAAGCAACACTTTCATATTCTATTTTTTTACCAGTCCTTCATTCATACCGCTCTAGGACCATGAGTCACCATTCATTCATTTCTCTACTGATGAAACCCTGCCAATTTAATCAACAGGATTTTAAAGACCTCCTCTCTTTTAGAACGTCTTGTTTGAAAAACACTATTGCCTCCTTCAAATTGATTTTTGCTTCTTACCTACATCACTTGAATTCGTATTAAACTGAGTGGTCTTTTGGAAGTTCCGAGAGATTTTTAAGGTAGCTTGTTCAGCAGCGTGCATCAGTTTTGTCAGATGAGTTCTTCTATGATTTGTAGGTAACTTGTCCCAAACTAGAAATGTATCCTTTTGAACAAAATTATTCACAGTTTTTACAAATTCCTATTGAAAAGAAAAAGGGTGTTTTTAAAAATGCAAGAATCCTAAATAAACACAGATATAAGGAAAAGTTAAAAGCTTATAAGATGATTATAAATTTAAACCTTATAAGAAGAGTTCAAACTCAAGATACTTACAGTAAGAGTTGAATTAGAAAGGGTGTCCTTGCCTGAGACAGTGCTATTCATGTCACCTAGTAATGGGGATGATGCGGCTAATATTTCTATATTTATAATTAAATTCATTGGTGAAAGATTTGTCACAGAATTTTTATAGACTTCTTGTAGCAAAGCCATAGGTTCTTCTATGGGTTTAATCTGAGCAAAAATAAGTTCAGAAATAGGAAACCAAATTAGAGTTACACTGGAGTTTTTCAAGAATAAAACTTATATGTTAAATTTATTCTGAAAATGGTTTTACTTACCTACACATAAATAAATACCTTACTAAACATAAACCATAATATGCAACTCTGAAATCTCATTTTAAGAGATTTTCAAATAACTCAAAAATACCAGAAGTTACTTTTAAAAAGAAACAGTACATGTTTGAACTGGTAATTTTTTTTTTTAGAGGTTTTTTGCTATAGGGCGCATGCACTCGCCAGAAAGAGAGAGACAGAGAGAGAGATAGTGAGAAATCATCCCCTAGGGTGGATGGTCATGCCACAATCTCTTCTCCTCCATTCTCCTTTCAGGATCTTGGGCGCGCATGCACATGCGCCTGGTGTGAGTTTAAGTCACCGGGTCTGAAACTCGAATTGCAGTCAACTACATGGGAGTCCAGCGACATAGCCATTATGCTAACTGCTGGTCCCTGAACTGATCATTTTGATAGAATTAGCTGTTAAAATAACTTCCTATTCTTCAATGTAGAATTATATACTAGCCAATGAATCTACCTTAATATTTAAAATCCTTAGGACTTATAAATATTGAAACCATAGGTAACAAATTATGGCTTAAAATTTGAATTAGATTTCAATCAAGTAAAGAAATTCTTCACAATGTGATTAAATGAAAATTTGCCTTGGCTGATAGTTGATTACTCACATTGAAATTCATACCTTCAATCACATAACAATAATTTTATGAATGTCCCACTTTATTTGCTTTTTGAAATATTCACTTTGAAATACAGAATCTACTTGCATTCAACTATGTTTTTTTAAAATGATAACATGTATGATAATACCTTTAATAATACTAATATCCACTGTGTTCATGGTAGGGAAATTCATTTTACAAGCTGTATTGATATACAGTGGTTGAAGGTTTAAAAATAAATAAATAAACAAACTAACAAAAAAATCAGGGAATGAATCTGCACTCAAACTACGTTTTTCCTATTTTATTTATTAACTTTCTTTTCGTGTTGAGAGATTTTCCAGTAGACTGAATAATGGAAAAGTAACATAAATTACATGTGTAAAAACCTTCTTCAACGCTTTGGGATTTTCAAATTAACCTTATTTGTGGTACAAACATGATTTTAGATGTCTGTAAATAAAAAGTTTCAGCTCTACATAGAGTTCAACCACTGGTTTCTTTTTCAGAAACATTAGGCTGTTGGGAAAGTCATGACGCATGAAAAATACGTCATGACTTGCCAGACCACCTAATGCAACATTGGAAATATCTTAACTGAAATCACAGTTTCAAAGTAAAATAAACTCGAGAAATGTACTTACTTTTATTAAAGTTTTATTAACATTTGCAGCAATACAGGCATTATTTAAATAGCAGTTTGTATTCACATTTTCTGCAGGAAATAAAAAAAGATTATTCAGTAAGTTTTAGAAAGTTATTTTTCCTAAGCTGATTTGATGCCAGTGCTTTTTCTCACTTATTCAAACATTACAAGTACTTAAACACTTTAATTTCCTTTTCAGTTTCAGAATACACAATGTCTTGGGCTATTGTGGACAAAAGTAGTTTTCAGGACTATGTTACCTTCACTGGGTAAAATGTGTTAACACCTTCCGTTAAATAAAACATTCCCTATGTTTATCTTATATTTATAAAGTATATATGCAAGCACATTTCTTGGAAGGCATAGCTCTTTGACACTTCACAACTGTGCAGTACACAATGTATATAGTTCTTTGACAATTTAACAATACAATTAATAAAATTTGACAATACTGTTTACCTTGGCAGTAAGTGCCATCATTAGGTGTGAACTGTGGTTTTCCTGTGGATGTCTTATAACCTTCCTCGCAGGAGCAGTTATAACCACCATTCGCATTTTTGCACACGGCATGATCACCACAGACAACTGATTCACTGCACTCATCTATGTCTGAAAATATTGGAAAAATTAATATTTTGATTCAACGTCCATATAGTGCTATCTTGTTGATAATTTATGGTTAGTGATTATAAGATACAGTTAGTGATTTCATACAAAATTTCACAAGAAAGCAAGGAAAATCTTACTTGGAAAATGGCAAAGCAAATTTAACTGCATATATTTTTAAACTTTATTTTGGCCAGTCCACTTTGATGTCTATAAGTAAACAGTTTCAATGTCCTTCTGCATGAAGTTTCAATGAACTTCTACATGAAGCTCAGATGCTAGTTACTTAGGGTACTGAAAATCCTATTCACAGGCCAAACTCTCAAATTGCTTTCTGAATAGAACGATACATCAATAAAGTCATTAAAATAATTGCCATCATTGATGATGTCACATTTAGCCCTAACTTAACCAACACCCAATTTTAAGAATATATTTTAAATGATTTGTTTTCTAGTATTAAAATAAATGGAATATAACAACTCAGAATAATCTGAAGATAAAGAAGTGACACAGATTCTTTCTAAAACTTTAATTTCTCATGTAAGTGAATCTAAAAGCTAAGATGTAGCAGAATATGTGATTCAACTTCCTTAAAATTTTGTTTTTTGTTCAGGTTATAGTTTTCTATGGTCCTTTCATTGTTGTTGTTGTTTTGTTTTGTTTTAGAGAGAGACTTCTGCCATAGGGTGCATGCGCTCACTGGAAAGACAGAGACAGAAGGTAAGAAATCACTCCCCCAACCCCCGTAGGAGGGACACACCACAGTCTGTTCTTTTCTATTCTGGGATTTTGGGTATGCATGCACATGTTCCTAGAATGAGTTTTAAGCTGCCAGGTCCAGGACTTGAACTGTGTGGTTGATTATGTGGGAGTCCAGGGACATAACCATTATGCCATCTGCTGGTCCCTACTATGGTCCTTAATACACCATTGCCTTAGATAAAATAATAAATTCTACAGAATTAAGTCTTAGATTCTCAGGAATCATATATTGAAACCACAACAAAGGTGCTAAGTTTTTTTTTTTTTTCTTTTTTTTGAGAGGTTCTTTTCGCTATAGGGTGTGTGCGCTCGCCAGACCGACAGACAGAGACATAGAGACAGAAAGCAAGAAATCACCCCCCAGGGGGGATGGTCACGCTGCAATCCCTTCTCCTCCATGCTCCTCTTGGGATCTTGGGCACACACGCACACGCGCCCGGCATGAGTTTTAAGCCGCCGGTTCCGGGACGCGAACTGTGGTCGACTACGTGGGAGGCCAGCAACATAGCCATTACACTAACTGCTGGTTCCCAAAGGTGCTAAGTTTTAACGTCATATAATTCATCCTCTTAATTTAAAACTTCACATAATATAGTGAAATATACCTTACAATTATAAATACAGTATAAATACTCTGCCTAGTATAGGGAGTGATTCCAAGGAGTTGAAGAGTCCAGATCATTATCTTCAATTAATGGAAATATTTTTGTATTTCTAGCCCAGCTCTGACATCTTAGAACTTTTTGTTAAATTAATGAATGAGCCTGTGATCTTAAGTTTAAATTTAGTTTTTTTTTTTTTAACTAATAGGGTGGCACAATACTGCTTGCTATAAAAAGGGAATGTAATCAAAGTTTAATTTAAAATGCCTTCTAGTTAGTTATCTATAGCTGCTCCTAATTTCTCACTTAAAACCACAATAAAGGCGAAGAAAAATCTCCAAATTTATACCACCGGAAACTGGAACTGACAGCAGACATCCTGCTAAGTGCTTGAGGAGATTTCCATGAGCTAGAAAGGTGATGGTACTAGATTGAAAGGCAATTAAATCTAGGCCTGCTGGCAGAACCCTTGCTCTTCTGACAAGTCTATATTTTCACGTCTGATCTTTACCACTCAGAAATCTGAGTATGTCTACAGAAACAGATATATTGCCAAAGCACCCTCATCCCTTTCATTTCTGAGTGTATTCAGAAACTAGAACTACACACACACACACACACACATACACACACACACTAGCTACAAATAGTAGCAGGAGTTGGTTCTTTGGATAAGGAGAACCTTCCAGGAAGCATCCTAGGATGGACTGGTACAGATCATGGTTATTATCTCTTAATTTATATATTAATTTTTAACTTTAATTTTTTTTTTTTTTTGCCATAGGGTGTGTGAACTCACCAGAGAAAGTAATAGTGAGAAGGAGTGTGAGAAATGATCCTCTAGGGGTGATGGCCGCATCCCAATCCCTACTCTTCCAGTCTCTTCTTGGAATTTTGGCCACATGCACATATGTGCCTGACATGAATTTTAAGCTGCCAGGTCTGGGACTCAAACTGGTTGGCCATGTGAGAGTCCAGTGCCTCAGCCACCTTGCCACTTGCTGGCCCTTATTTATTAATTAAAAAACCAAAATTGCTATAGGCTGTGTGCACTTACCAGAGAGGTAGAGAGAGGGAAGGTAAGAAAGCATTTTCCAGGGGGGATGGCCATGCCACAGTCCCATCTCCTCTACTCTTCTAGGATTTGGGGCATGTCCATACATGCACCTGGCATGTTTTTTAGGATGCTGGGTCTGAGACTCATGCTAGGCTATGTGAGATCTAGCTGCCTTAACCACCACTCCATCGGTTGGCTCTGGTAAGCATCTTTTATGAAATCAACAAGGTCAGAAAAAATATGGAAAGACAAGGATTTTGGGGAGTAAAGCTATTGATTTGACACATGCTGTACCCCAACTGGAAAACACCCCATTGAGAGTGTGAACAGACCTATGAAGTATCATAGATAGAAGAGTTTATTTCACAGACAAGGATGCTATTATGTTCTTTGAATACCCGTGTTTGGTAGTCTTCGATGCCTTCTATGGATATTATGTAAATGAGATGTTGATCCATTTCAATTTCAAAACCACTTAAATGTGTCGTCCAAAAAAGCAATCTCTGTGTAATATGAAACCGTTGTCTACAAACTCAAGTTTCATCCTCTCTCTTTCACTTTAGACATGAATATACATAATCTTAGTAATCGCGACAGCCTGGGCTTTCCCCTGGATCTCCTTCACACCCTCTGATCTCCTGTTGAGGTGTCTGCTCTAGCTCAAGCCCTCTCACCACCACTCACTTGACTAGCTGTATCTCCACATGTCAGCCTCCAGCCAAGCAGGTGTTTTAGTTTCTGAATTCACCACGTGACAATATGCTAATCTGAAAAAATACTATGGAAGTAGTATTCTCGATAAAGAATATGCAAATTTATATAATCAAGTTTTAAATGTAATTAAAAATTATTAGTGTTCTTATCAAAGTAATGTTTTGTTTCTGTAGCATTTCACTAAAATGTGGAAGCAAGGTTTACTGAATCTATAATCTTCTAACTTTGGGCTTCAGTGGTAGAGCATAGAGAGTTTAACCTAGAAATAGATTGGGCAGTCAAAGAGCTTCCATGGTCCTCAGCACATCACTCTATGCCTCCTTTCACTTAGTAAAACATTTCACTATAAAACATTGAAAAACCACCCCTTCTCAGAATATGATGAAACCGGCTTGTCTAGAGTGAACATGACCGCCATTTTGCAGTAAGGTCCACGCTAACTTCCCTGTCAGGGTCTAAATGGCTTTAATCTAATAAATGTTCTTAATTTTCTTCTTCTTGCAGGAAAAGGTGCTGAGTTTGCTAATTAGAAGACCTTAATTCAACTCTTGACTCTAACACTCATTAGCTGTGTATCCTTAGGTGGGGGGAAAACAAAAGTCTTCTAACTCAAAAGAGTTCTATCTCAGAAAAAATGAGAAAATGTATATGGACACATTTGTTGGAGTGGAGCCTAGAATACAACAGGTACCTGATATTGTAGTGGGAAAATCAGACTAATCATTCTGTTCACAGCGAATGTTTTTTTTTAATAGCTAGAGACCTGTGAATAAATAAGTTTGGAAATACAAATTGATAACAAGTATCTTTTTAGGTTGTCATATCTTGGTAAGAGAAAAAGAACCTTCTCTCCCTCCTCTTAATGAAAGCTGAATTGCTACAAAGTAATTATTTTAGTCAGGCTAGAATTGATAGAGCAGATTTAATAACTGACCCACATTCGCCACTACCATTACCTGACTCTATGCTAATAATTCAGTATCACTAAATGGGAGCACATCATTAGCAATCTTAATTCACTTGCTACTTTTTCATTAATAAGGTTATCCTTGTTTTCATGTCAACAATTAGCCAAACCAGCAGTATCTTATGTGATCTTTCCAAACATGATTATATGGTGGTTATGATTCTTATAATTATTACCAATAACAGATTTTTCCAATGGTGTTTAGCTTAGACTGCAAAGAAAAGATAAAATGTTCAATTATGAAAAATAATTTGCAAAGACAAAATTCAATTTTAATACTATTCAAAGTCAAAAACATATTCAATTATCATAGAATACCTCAGGCAAGTATGACTTGTAATAAAAAAAAAAATCACAAGTAGTAAACACTGCTCTAAAGCACGTGCTGTAAGTGAAGGAATTCTTGGCTTAAACTCATTTGGCCTGGGAGAATCACTTTACTCCTGGCTGCCTCAGTTTCCCTGTTTGTGAGATGCAGGTCTGGAACTAATAGATCTTCAGGGAGCTGGCATCTGAAGTTTTACTGCGATTCTCCAGGAAGGAAAAATGCATGATTGGACGTCGAGATAACCCACCCACGCCGAGGCTGGACCCCGGCACATGATGTGAAATCTCACTGAAAGCCTTCTGCACGTAATTACCTTACCTGTGGAAAACAGTATTTGAATAAGGACTACTTTTAGGTAACAAATTTTGCTCAGGTCATCTTTTTTTGCCCTGAATTGGGTTCTCCAATTTTCTATTTATAGAGGTACTTAAAAATTATAACTACCAGACATGCCAAATTTAGGGATCAGGTAAAATTTCAAATCAGAAGAAATTTACTCCAACGTGTTATAATAAAAAAAGGAACAGATTTATGGTTCTCTGTTCAAGTTCCCTGAGGATTATCACAGTGCACAAAGAAATTACAATAAGATTGGGAAAACAAAAGAAATAGTTGCACTATTTCTTGAAAACTTTAATCCTTAAGAACAATAAAAGATTGGAGAGAAATAACATTTTTCCAGAGAACGAGTTTTTCACTGAATAATCCATCAAGCAAAATAGGTAGAAACAGAAGGACTCAGTGCTAGGTATTAGGTTTTAATGTACTTTCTGGGTTTACTGACTACTTAAAATAGCTAAAATGAGAATTAGCAAAGATTTAAGGCTTTTACATAGTAGGTCAATATAATTGAGTATTGGGAAGTATTACATTACAAATATACTACAGCTCCTTTAAAATATCGACATCCAATCATCTCCACGTGTGTCTGAGTTCTCTGTATCTGCGATTCAGTTTTTTCTAATGTAAGAATTCTTTACTTGAAAGTATACAAACAGGGAAATATAGCCCTTTGTGAATTGAGGGAATATTAAAAGTAAACAAAATCAGAGAAAAAGACAGATGTCTTCTAAACACAAGAGAGATTAGGGAATGGAGAACACAGTTAAAATTGTATTACATTACACTGATAAAGATGTTACAAGTTAGACTACCTCACTAACTGGAACATTTCTCCTGAAGTTTATAGAGATACATAATTGGAAACTAACTACTAAAGGCAAAATACACACATTACATGACATTATAAGTCTAACAAAGAATATAACCTTGAGAAGAACAAATATTGAGGTACTATTAGTTTTCTGGGCAGAACTTCATAAGCTCTGGTTTCCTAAATACTGGTCATGCTATATTCCAAAAATAATAATAATAATTTCCACAGAAGTAGCATTATTTCTCATATTTTAAATCTTTTATATCCTTGCCAAACTTAATCAACTGCATTTGCACAATTCAGATCAATATGTGAGATTTCATGGTTCATCCATTTAAGTATACTGTGGAATACAAGACTATGATTCCGGTCTTATCATTTATTCCAAATGTGAATCTGAAGTAGCCCTTCAGTGTCCTCAGCTATAAAATGAGGAAAATAAAGTCTTCCCTGTTTACATAGCAGAGTAAACGCTGTGAAGCCTAAGTTCATGAGACTGTATGATTTCTTTGGTACAGATAATTCACACATACAGTTTTTGAAACATTGTCCTACATTAATACTACCTCACAAAGGAACTAACCAAAGGCATTAGTGTTATCCAGGTTAACCTGAGTATCTCTCTTTTATCTATGTCATGTAGAAGCAGCACATTATTTTTGTCTGTGTAGCATACCTAGTCCTGAGTGCTAGTCTTTCGACTCTTGCTTATGTGACTACATACTCAGGAACTCAGCTCATCTGTTCATTTTGTAGGTTACTGTCCTTTATAATTAATTGTACTCATTGTTGGTTACTTGAATAGATATTTAGAAACCGTGATTGAGCTCATTTAAAATGTGTTTTTAATGGCAAAATCTTTGGCTCCAGAGATTTTGCAATTGTTTATTTGTTGAAGTTTCTAAATAATCTTTTTTTCCTCTCAGATTGTAAATTCTATAGCATGTGACAAATCACATGCATGATCAAATTGCAATAGAAAGAATTATATATATATATTCTAAATAAAGATAGTCTTTTCAGACTCAGAATAAGTGAATAATCAGAGATTGAATTAAAATAATTATGTCTACAGAGGACATTTTAGCTAACATGAGGTGATAGTGTTCAAAAAAACTTAACTCGTTTTCAGTTGTCAGCACTTGTCTTTAACTTTTTTGTTTTGTTTTGTTTGCCTTTTTACAATAGAGCTCACACATGAATTAGAGAGAGAGAGAAGCACCCTCCACCAAGAGCACCCTCCAGGCCACCTGGATCCTGAGCACATGCCCAGATTTCCAGCATATTTTCAGGCCAGAGGGGCAGCGAACTAGAACTGTTACCAACCAAGGTCTGGTTGCTGCCCTTTCACAGTCAATGAAATGAGAGGCAGAGGCCGAAGAAGAAAGGAGTTTGTTTTCGTAACTAGTTATAGGGAAACAGATAGCAAGTCCCATTAAAATGTCTGGAAAAAGCTCCATGTGTTTTTGGTATTTATAAGTACAAGATACCCGCATGTGCAAATCATTCCTCACTACCATTGGTCAGAGTCAATGGCTTTCTCCTAAGTAATTATCCTGATCACATCAAATTTCCACTCCAGTTTCCCATCTGACCATTCCTCAAGCAGATCTCCTGTGAGGCACCGCTTGGTCAGACTATTCTCATTAGGGCCTTTCTTAATTTCAAAATGGCTGCAGTCCCGCTGGCCTGCTTCGGAACACAGTTGGCACAAGGCTTATGGCGCCATATGCAGTCTCGTGCCCTAGTGACCGCCACAGAATCTGTGCAGCATTGTTTTCAACAATTTGTTATGCGACATACTTTATCTTCATGTCATTTCCAATATGAGAAATATAAGATATGTAGAGGCTTTTAAAGAATTTTCATTTGTTTTAGGCATATTTTGCAAATTCAAATCCACAAAGTGTATTATCACCACGTAGACTTTGTGAGCATTGTGCATGTACACAAAGACATCAACACTTCCTTATCAAATGAAGAAATGTCCTTTTTTTATATCTGCATGTGGGAAAGACAATTTCTCTGGATCTGAGCTCTGTGGGCAATGGCATGTGCAGTTGTGGGCCATCGTGTTTTTTGAGCCTTCTGATCTATCTCATTAGAAGACAGGTTGTCCGTCACAGGATTTCAGCTGAATGCACACGACTGAGTACTAGCCATAGTGATATGCATTTACACATTTAGTCTTTTGACCTATTCCCTATGAATATGGTTTGTCCGTCTATAAGTGTTATACACATCACAATGAGTATAACTGAGTATTTATGCTTCCACAACTGTGTTTGCCATTATTGCCTATTTTATGGTATAAAGTGGCAATGAAGTATCCTGTCATGTTTTTACGTGTTTCTCAAATCCCTTTTTAACAACATAAATAAATGTCTTATAAATAATAATAATAAAGAACAACTTAATGCAGATCTGAAGTGTAACTAGATCTTATCAAGGCAGAAGTAGAACAACCTGGAAAATTTTTATTAGTAATGACTATCGGAAAATACACAGAACTCACAAAATGCATATTTAGAAAAGCATCAATTTCTTGTGATACACATAGCTATTTTCTGAGTTAATGTTATTTTTAAATATAAATTTTTATTCTTTTGTTTGCCACTATGCAAGATCTTGTGTTTTCATTCATTATCTTTTATTTTGTAAACCAATTTTCTAAGAAAAAGGTTTTTTTTTTAATTTTGTATAAGTATTCCAGAGTAAGTGATTGTACAACATTGGAGAAATAGGAATTAATGATGTTTCTGAAAGTATTTAATAACTAGGGTACAATCCAGTCTAGCAGAATTTGTCTCAAATCTGTTTAATCTTTGGAGGTAATAAGGAATAAATAATTTTCAAATTTTAACTTCATAACTTTACTCACCTATGCAGATGGTTCCATCATTAGTGATAAACCTGTCTTGGTTGTTGCTGGATCTAAAACCAGGTGCACACATACAATAGTAACTTCCCTCTGTGTTAGTGCAGTTAGCGTTTTCACCACAGGACTGTGTTAAATTTCCACACTCATTATCATCTGTGGACATAACAATTTCAAACATTATTTTTACATAACTTAGATGAATTTCTATTATTTTCCATCAGCATTTGGAAATTCTGACTGTAAATAGTCTAAAGTAATGTAATGTTATTTTGTAGAAAACTTGGTACTAAAGAGTCCATAGTCCAGGGACCAGCAGTTAGTGTAATGGCTATGTCGCTGAACTCCTGTGTAGCCATCTGCGGTTTGAGTCCTGGACCCAGTGGCTTAAATTCATGCTGGGCGGGTGTGTGTGCATGCTCAAGATCCCTAGAGGAGAATGGAGAGAAGGGATTGTGGCACAGCCATCCTCCCTGGGGCATGGGGTGGGGGGGTGATTTCTCGCTTTCTGTCTTTCTGTCTCTCTCTGTCTTTCTGGTGAGCGCATGCGCCCCCATATAGCAAAAACCTCTCTAAATAAATAAATAAATAAATAAGAGTCCATAGTCTATATATATTTATATAAACCTTATTAGTAGTTGCAATGTACAAGAGTATTTATACATCAAAAGCACTAAATATAATTTATGAATCTGTATTAAATATTTTTCATTTTTTTGAGAGAATTTTTTGCTATAAAGTACATGTGCTCCCTGGAGAGACAAAGAGACAGAAAGAGAGAAATTTCCACCTGGGGGATATGGCCAAACTGCAGTCCCTTCTCCTCTCAGAATTTTGGGGATGCATGCACAGGTGCCTGGCATGAATTTTAAGAGGCCAGATCCAGAACTCAAACCCCGGTGGACTACGTGGGAGTCCAACAACATAACCATTACATCATCTGCTGGTCCCAATATTTTTCAATTTGTATATGTAATTTAATTATAATATGTGAGTAAAATATATGCTTGTGGATTAATTTATAATACCCTTCAAAAAATATACCAGACATTCAAAATGAAATATACAAGGTTACACATTGGCCTGCTCTTATAGGTACTATTTATTTTCATCATTTGTTTCCTACATCTATCTTACATTAGTAGACCTGAAATCTCTTTTTTATTTATTTATACATTTATTCCAAACTATACTCAGTATATTGTTCTGAAAAAGAAGGTACATTACAAAAGCTATACATACCATGGTTCTTACTCATATACTCTTACAGTAAAGAAAGATACATAAGTATAGGTTCATAAATTCTTTTTAAAAATTAGAAAGCAAATTTATATTATCTTTCAAATACATGAGTTAGAAAGTAAGTGCTTTTAGGGGTCAGCAGATGTTATAGTGGTTATGCTGCTAGACTCTCAAAGGACTAATCATGGTTTTAGTCCTGGACCTGGTGGTTAAAACTCATGTTGGGCTCAAAAGCATGCATGGCCAAGATCCAGCGGTGATGGGAAGGGGGGAGTTGGAGGAGAAGGGATTGTGGTATGGCCAACCCCCTGGGAGAATGCTTTCTCATTTTTTCTGTCTTTATCTCTCTCTCTCCCTGGTGAGCACACATGCCCTAAGGCAAAAACTTCTATTGAAAGAAAGAGAAAGAAAGAAAGAAAGAAAGAAAGAAAGAAAGAAAGAAAGAAAGAAAGAAAGAAAGAAAGAGCTTCTCAGAGGTAATTATAATGGACTGAAGGAGAATAATATTTTCCAGTGACAGGAGACTGTTGTGGGTTGAATCATGTCTCTCAAAAAATGTTTTTAAGTCCTAACCCTCTGGTGCCTGTGAATGTGATGTTTAGAAATAGGGCCTTAGAAGATGTAACCAAGTAAAATGAGCCCCCTTGGATAGAAGTGAGTCCTCTTCCAGTGACTGTTCCCTTATAAAGTGCAAGACATTTGGACACAGAGCCACAGAGCAGAAGCTACGTGGAGACAGAAAAGTAGTCCAGTGGTGTAGCTGCAAGTCCAGGAAAGTTGAGCATAGCTGGCAAACTCCAGAAAGCTAGAAAAGGGCATGGGAGGATGTTTCTCTAGACCTCTTGGAAGGAACATGATCCTGCTGACACCTTGAGTTCAGACTTTCGGCCTCAGCACTGTGAGAACATACATTTCTGTTCTTTTGAGCCACCAAGTTGGTCATAATTTTTTGCAGCAGCCCGAGGAACTAATACACCCAAACTGAACAGTACAGGACAGGTAAATAGCAGTAGAGAAAAGGAAAGAAACAAAAGGAAGACTAAATGGTGAGCAAAGGTGCAGGCGCATGGTGACAGAGAGATTTCTAGAAGCGTAGGATGTCTAAGTGGGAAGTTCAGAGAGAACTCACAGGGGAATCTTAACAAATAAGGCACATTAGAAAGACGTATTGAATTTGTTTTTTTAAATTTAGCCAAATCAAGTTTTTCTTTTCTTTTCTTTTCTTTTTTTTTTTTTAAAGTTTATTTATGACAGAGAGAGAGAGCAAGCAAAAGGGGAAGAGAAAGAGGGATTGATTTTTGACAGATCTAGCCACATTGGGATTTTGTTGCTTCAGTCTTCCTAGCTAAGACTACAAGCACACCACAGTGTCCAACCTATTTAAAGTTGGACTGGATCTGGGAACCAAACCCGGGCCTCCAATATGGCCTCAGTATCTGAGTAGCAGTCTTAATAGTAAGCACTGCTGTGGCTACCCAAAGTTCAAATTCTTTTTAAAGGGGAGTCATGTAACATTTAATTCACACAAAGGCTACTGTCTGCATGTAGTTGTAACTAATAGGGAATTTTAGCAAATGCTTTTGAAATATAAATTCACTTAATGGTTACATAAGTTACAGGACATTGTTATTATCCTGTTTAACTGATTAGAAAAACAGCAGAATCAGTCGAAGCCTCACATCTAATATTTTGTGTGTGGGGGGGATTGTGCCATCAGGCCTTATGTATTTTATTTTTATTTCTTCTAATGTTATCTAGGTACCTTCCTAGAAAGTTGAGTTGGAATCCTTAGTGCCCTTGAAAATTTTATCCCTAGCATGTGACCCGATTTATTCTTAGGAAACTACTAGAATAGAAGAGCCAAGCAGTTAGGATGCTAACTACTAAAGGCTAACAACTTTGGGATATACAAAACAAATGGCTCATTAAAGCAGTGTAGGCCAGGCAACAAATTCCAAAGTTTGACTCCACCATAGTTAGACAACAGAAGGTAGGTGTGCCTTGTGATATTTTATTTATATTAAGGATTTAAATTTTAAAACTTTTAAAAGATTACTTATAACAGTTCATGTTTTACATTTGACTAGGTATTTGTCAAGTGTAACAGCACATAGAAGTTTGCAAAATTGAAGAAAGTTGTTGAAAACATGACAATAAAGTAAGATAAGTTGGGAGTTAATATGTTATCAACACTGGGACCAGTAGATTGTGAAATAATTATATCACTGAACTCCCACACAGTGACCACGGTTCAAGTTCTGGATCCAGTGGCTTGAAACTCACACTGGATGTGTGAGCATGTATGCCCAAAACCCCAAGAGGAGAATGGAGAAGAGATTTTGGCATGGCTATCTCTTCTGGGAGGTGATTTCTCACTTTCTGTCTCTCTGTCTCTCTGGTAAGCACACGCACCTATAGCAAAAATCTCTTAAAGAGTTATCAGCATTAATATATTTAGTTAATTTATCTATTCAGATATGTCTTTATTTTATATATATATATATATATATATATGTGTGTGTGTGTGTATATATATATATATAGAGAGAGAGAGAAAGAGAGAGAGAGAGAGAGAACATGTGTCTATGTATGCATACAATAGAAATTAAATTAGCTTATGAACATTAACTGACGGTATCTCACAAATTGAACACAAGCACCTAAATCAAAGAAAAATGTTTCCCCCATTAGGTTTGATTCAATCACTTAGTTGTTCCAGTATTTATGAGTTCCCCAGTTCCCAAATGTGAATATGTCTATACTGGGAAATAAGTAAAAATTAGTCAAAAAGTCATGATCTGTGCCCTGTTATCACAGTTCACTTTCTAAAGGCCAGTTAACAAAGAAGCATATGATTGAGTTTTTATTAAAATAAAGTTCTCATTTTTTCTCTCTAAATTTGACTCCCTTCAACTGCATACTGGGAAAAGTTCTATTAAACTTTAATAGAAATATTACTCTCAGATCAGTTATTGGTAATATAGAGAATGATGAGGATTGTATCTCTCAAGGGCTACAGCTGCAGAAATGATATGCAAAATTACAGGGAAAAGGGACTCACTAGGTCTGAGATGTGTGGTCAGAGCCCAAAAATATGAACCACGTTGTATTACCTGACCGTGTTTCTAAAAATAAATGAGCACATCAATATGTTATTTGACTCTGACATATTTTACTAGTCTTCAGTAACATATTAACAGGCAGAAAAAAACAAAGGTTGCCATTGGCTTTTTGTCTTTTCCTATTATATATATGCTTTGGAGCACTTAACCTCTTGGCTTTCCTTATCAGGAATTTGGAAATAAAAATATCTCCTTTTCTATCTCCCAATCTAAATATATAATATGGACAAATTCCCTAATGGCCCAACTCAAATCTTATTCGGTAAAATATCCCTTATCTGAGAGCAACCTTTTCTCTTCCCTCAAGATAGTAGAGACTGAGAAGAAATTACTTTTGTGAAGTAATATATAAATATGAATTATTTAAATAGCCTTAAACTCTCAGTGTCCGGTTTCATTATAATTAATCTTCAAGGAGAAAATTCTTTGGCTGGGTATAATATAGAAGAATAAAAGCTTGTTTTTTTTTTTTTTTTTTAATTTTCTAATGCTCAAATTGATTTGCCAGTTACAGTACCAGCTCTCTGTAACTCTATATTCAATCTCTTTGGGGGATTATTATGTAAATATTTCAATTAAATGTACCTAGAAAAATTTGATCCAAATACAGTTCCATTGAAAATAAATTTTAAACTTTTCTTAAAAAAATGACTTATAAGGAGAAATATCTGGCATCATTCATACACACCTTGTGCTCACTGAGTCAGAGCATGATAAGAACAAAGGCATAGACACAGCCAGCCCAAACTTATAGAGGTCCATGGCTACTAGAGAAGATGTACCCAATCTAAG